CCATACCTGATTCCTCAATATCTTATTACTCTCCTAATCTTGTATGCTCCTCCTTTCCTCCTTTCTCTCGAATTCTTCTTCCAAGAATTCTGGTGTCTCTCGGTTTATTCTTCAAGTTGGTCGTGAATTGTGTTGGTGTATGTTTCCAGTTTCCTCCTATTTATAAACTTACTCACCGACTTAATTCTTTCTAGGATTTTCTTCGCTCTCTTTATTCTCCACCGCCTTAATTTAATTCCGATTCTTCACCGACTTAATTCAAATGTATTTAGGCCACCACCGACCTTCTCGTTTCTCTTTTTTTTTTTTCTAAATATTTATTTACTCATTTATTTAATTTTTATTATTAAGATTTATTATTAAATTATTATTTGACACAATATTAACCTTGGATTTTATTTTATAATTTTCTTAAGACAAAATTACTATAAAAATCATGTTTTATTTTTATAATAACTCTACATAATATTCGGTACATATTTATAACTTACAAAATTTATTTATATAATTGATTACAAAATTTAGGATATTACACCATCTACTCAGCCCAATCAAAGAAAAAATCTACCAACATGTTTCAGATGTCTTGTTAGTAGAACTTGGAGCACTCCAGATTTGGTTATTCCAACTACTAGAAGATTATGCACTCCGACAACACTTGAGGATAGTCCAATATTAGGATAATTTGGCCCTCTCATCTTCCTATCAATACAACATTGGAATAAATCCTTATTTGGTGGAATGTGATCCTGCCTGGATTAACAAAAGATTAACTGAAGATTTATTCTTTTCAGGGTTCATGAAAAGGATGATTACTTTCAGGGATACAGTGATAAAACCATTTTACAGTACAAAAGTTAACTACTGAATAAATGTGTTTTTTTCAGTGTGATTACAATAAATAATATTGTATTGAAATATTCTCTACAAACCCCAGCACAAAAGACGAATATAGTCCAGCAAAAAATCTGTTTATGGATACTGAGTCATTCATTGACATCTTCTTCAATGATACATTCCAAAAAATTGATCATGACAACCATCCTTTCACTTCAACAAGGTATAATCAATTCCTAGAAGAAGATATAAAGAAAGGAGTTGTTAACTGAAACTACAACAATCAGTCTTTGGGTAAGACTTGGCAAAGCTTCATATCTACAGCGGAACTGTAAAAATCTCGCCTCACCACAACTAATGAGTCTTTCAGATAAATGTAAGAATTAATGGTTGAGTTCAAGAGGGGGGGTGAATTGAACTTTTGAAATCTTTTTCGAAAAACACTCTTTCTTTTGGAAGAATGGTTAATCTTTATCCAATCTTTTATTAGGCAGATTTGGTTCCAAGTGAAAAATACAAATCAGTAGATATACACCAATCTACCCCAAGAACTATCTTACAACACCGCAAGATAGACTCTTGAATTAACCACCCAGTAACCAAACCCAGTTACTGTAACCAGTGCAAATTCAAACCCAATCTACACAATTAAACTTTGTACAAGTATATGAAAAGAATAAACCTGGACTGCAGCTTTAACAATATAGAAGTCCATAAGCAATTTTCCTAACTCAGAACTTTCTCTCTTGATGATCTTTCAACAATCTTGATCAAAACGCCTTATGATATGAAAAGTTTATGAATGCTCAGAGAAAGGCACGTATATGAGAGCTCTAAGATTACTTTCAATCGTTTTCCAAATTGTGTGTTTCAAAAGAGAAATCAAAATTGTATTTATAAAGTAAAAGAGAGAGACTGATAGATTCAATCGATTTAAAATGACGTTTCAATCGATTGATTTCATTTAAAACTCATTCAATCAGTTGTTTCGAGCTTTCAATGGATTGAAACAGTTTAGAAAAAAATGGTAGCTCTCTGTTTCAACAAATTAAAATATATTTCAACATATTGAAATCCTGTGATACCTTAGAATGAAAAAATGATCTTTCTGTTTCAACAGATTAAAACTTATTTCAACATATTGAAATCCTGTGATACCTTAGAATAGAAAAATGATATCTCTATTTCAACAGATTAAAACTTATTTCAACAGATTGAAATCCTGTGATACCTTAGAATAGAAAAATGATCTCTCTGTTTCAACATATTAAAACTTATTTCAACAGATTGAAATCCTGTGATACTTCAAAGTGAAAAATGACATCTCTCTGTTTCAACAGATTGAACTTGATTTCAACAGATTAAAATTGTGAAACCTTTAATATGAAAAAATCATTAGGAACATTTTAACCTGTTGATTCTGTGATTCAATCAATTAAAATTTTGACTGTATATGAACATTTCCTATGTTAAGTAATTTTAACAGATTGAAACTTCTTTTTAACAGATTGAAAAACTCAGTTTGTTCTTTTAATGCTTAAAGATTGGTTTTTCATGCAGTAAAATAAGTTCTATGAAATGCATCATTTATAGGCGCTTATCACAAGATCTATTGAACTATCAAGAGATTAAATTCTAAACCTATAACCTATCTATCTACACACCCACAAAATAAACTCTATAAACTCTATATGTCTTCATCAAATCCAACAAGTGCTTCAATAAAGACAAATTTATCCTTAAAGATTTCGAGGAATTTCTCATGACGAAAACCCTTATGTCATACAGTAATATCCAAAGATGACAAAGGTTAATGACCGATAATGATATATTGTTACCTTGTCATGATTCCTCTACCGTTACACGTTGTTAGGTCCTTTAAACCTTGCGTGTTAAAGACGGAAAGATTGAACCAATCTTTTGAAACACAAAGCGATTTTTTCTACCAAAAAAAAAATAATAATAATAATAACCCCCGCACATGTTTCTCAAAGACCCATAAAATTTTTAAGTGGGTCTCACATTTTAAATTTTATATTCATTATTTTATTATTATTTTCTTTTACAATTGCTTATAAAAGAACTCGTATGTCTCTTATGCTTGGCAGAGATCCTTAGAATCCCCCTCCCGTTCTCTCTCTTCGTTCTTTCTACCCTCTCCTTCTCTCATGTAAATTTATCTCTATCAATAAGAGAATCACTTTCAGATTCCTCCTTTTCCTTCTCCTTTCCCCATCCGAGTAAGTTTTCTTTACTCCTCTCTTATGGAGTAGTTTTTTTTAAGGGCGTCCTCGAATGCCTTAAGTAATATTTATTAAAAGATGCGACAATCATTTAAAAGATTAAATTTTTTTTGTATAGCTTTTATGTTCATATCTGCAATATTCAATCATCTCATAATCTTATCATAAACTTATTTGTTTATATTTTTATCTTTATTTTTCAAGTTCATGTAAACTTATGAGGAGATGTCTAACCGGTTGTGTCATATTCATACATCTCATAATCTTATTTTGAAAAATTTCTTGGTATAACCGACTTTATCTCGGACAATCTTCATTTAAACTAGCCTGATTTCATGTTCTTGTTTTGAAGCTAAATAGCTACATTGACTTACATAAAAAGTTATAACATATTTTGATTTTTTTTTTTTTGTAATGTCCTTCTTCTCCCTCCTTTTCATGGGGTCAAAACAGTTTTTCCTAGCTACCGGAGTTTTTCTGTTTTTGCATTATTGGATGTAAAAAATAAAGAATGTCCTTTTCATTTTTATATCATGTTTTAAACATGTTATTCAAATTATTTGAAAAAGCATTATACGAGTTTCGGTTTTAAAGAGGTAATAAGTTTAATAAAATAATATTTAATAAATTGATTAATAATAATAATTTTATAATTATTATAAGGTACAATAATAATTATACATATAAAATATAAAATAATAAAAATAAAATAAAATATTTATTATTTATAACTAATGTAATTAATATAAAATAAAGATATATTAATTTTTTTATAAAAAAATTATCTTTTAAGTTTTTTTATTAAAAATAGGTTTAATTAAAAAAAAGTCAATTAATTTTATATAAATTTAATTAAAGTTAAATTATTTAAAAATAAAAAATCGATTTTTATATCAATTTTCATATTAAATCGGTCCATTGAATCGGATTTTCAAACCTGTATTAACGTATACCGTATTATATCTTTTTAATTGTCAAAATTTTGAAAGGTTTTACCTTTTTTATTATTTAAATCCTTACTTTTGATTTAATCTTCAATTTTATATTTAAACGAGACTTGGAAGAAAGAGGTAATATGAGTTAGTAACAACTCTTTCAATTTTCTAAGAATGTTGGGTTGGAAGCTCTGCTCCGAATACGAGTCTTGTTTGTCTCCATTTTCTAAGTAGTGAATGGGTGGGGTAGGTGGTGATGCATAAAAACTTTATTCCTGCATTTCTTTTTTATCCAAAATTTCAGTATTCAGATTAATTTAGTTTTATTACATTTTTAGCAGTTTAAATGCTAGGCTGTTTTTAATGGTTGTATTTTTTAGATAAAAGAAAATTAGTGGGATATTAAAAGCTTGTTTATGTATTTTTTAGAAAACTAATTTTAAATATTTATAAATTAAAAAAAATTTAATGATTCTTTTGTTAAGGTAATTTGAAAATATAATTTTTTTTTTGTTTTAATTTTAAAAAAATTATTTGATAATTATTTTATTATAAAAATTACAATTTTTTTAAATTGATAAAATTCACTTTTTATTTTTATTAATATATATATATATATATATATATATATATATATTATTTGCTTTCGTTATAATAAAAGTTATTATAGTCATTTTCTATTGTTATATTTTTTTATTAAAATTATTTTTAATTTAGAATTGTTAAAATAATTAAGTCTTTTATTAATAATAATTTTTAAATTTTAGTTGTTAAAGATATTTTTGAAAATTAAAAATTAAACCAAATAAATCTTAACAAAAATTTGGAAAACCAAACTTTCATAAACTTAAAAATAGTCATACATACAAATCACTTTTTTCCTTTCATTTGACTCAACCACCTATTTTAATAAAATTTTATGAAGACAATTGACTTATTTTAACATTAGGGTATAAAGTGAATATCTTTACATTTCACCCCTTTCTTATGAATTTAGTTGGGAAGGTGTAGCACTGTATAAAGATCTAAGTTGTCTGCTTATGAGTTTGCTGCTATGGATAACCTGCTGAACTTCTGCATCACTTGACCACCATTGTTCCAAGCCATGAGCCTCAACAAACTTCTGTTTCTCCTTAGAAACAACAAACAATTTTGCTGCAACTTCTACCTTTGTACTTCCCACATTTACCTTTGTGCCACCACCATCATTGTAATAGCAACAGATATAGTCACCACTGTTAACATACAAATAAGGAACCCATTTTGCCATCCCCAAACTAGCATCTTTCAAACCAGAACCAGAAGATAGTTGAGGCATCCTACTCTTGGATCCTGCACCTGAAGTTTTGTGTCCATCATTATTGATTTGAGCTTCACTACTATAAGGAAGCATGGATTTAAGTCTATTCCACACAAACTCAACCTTTTCTCCAATAGTTTTGAAACTCATGGCTAGTGAAACAGAAGGTGGATTAAACAAATGTGCCTCAACATAAATCCCTTCTTTTGCTAGATCCTTCCCAACTTGAAGAGCAAAACCAGCCCCCAAGGAATGCCCTGCAATGCATACATTGTTGCTTCCATATTTACCACAAATCAATTTTAGTACCTCCAAAGCTGCTTTAAACCTCACAGAACCTTTCAAGCTTTCCCAAGCAAGAAAACGGAGGTCATCTTCAATATCTCTTCTCATTGTAGGGCTTTTGAGTAATGTTCCTCTGAGTGCTAAAACTACTCTGGGGGCACCACTTGGTCTAATTGGTATCAAGTCAGACAATGCAGCAGATCTATCCCATTCAAGAATTGCACCAAAAATGGATCCATCTCTTTCGTCAACTAGTGTTTGTTTAAGCTTGTACTTGAATGGAATCCACCAATTTGTAGCAAGAGTATTTCCATGTATTCTCTTCTCTTGCCTGTCAAGTTCAAGCAAGTATACTGCCTGTATAAAGCAGGCAATGACAGTTTTCTTGTAATTTGCATCCTTCCTGTATTACAAAAACAATATCAGCATTCATATTTCAAAAGAATGTGAATGAAACTAAGACTATGCAACCTTTGCATCGAATTTGACCACTGAAGGATAAAGGGCTCTTGCTAGAGTTAATGCCAACAACAAAATTGATATAATAAAAGAGTGAAAAAAACACTTATAATGGCGTCTTTGGAATTGTGCAGGAATCACGTTAATGCAGAACCTACTGTATGTAGTGTATGGTTCAATGCAATTTTTTTCCTCTTTTGGATGTTGTTCCAAACTCCCACTAAGGCAATCCAAACAGTAGAAGTTATTTTAATTTTACATAATATCACCTATGCAAATCTTTAAATCCTGTTTTTTGGGTCCTGTAGTGTACATGTTTGATCTGCGAATGAAATATTATATCTATAAGATGTGGTTACGATTATTTTTTGTAAAAGTCCCTTTCAGAAAGCTGATAAATTAAGTATTATTTTTTTAAAACAAGTCTGGATTAAACCCCCAATTAATTAAGCTAATTCATAACTCCAAATGAACTAGTTCAATCTCTATCCAAGCAAAATCTCAGTACAAAATAATCAAATTGTAGAAAGTTCTATTATAAATGCTTAAAAAAGTTAACTAAGAAAAATGGGGTATTATGGTGAAGATTATAACAAACAGATACTGAATAAAGAATCATAACTTGGAAATTGAAAAAATGGCAGTCCTTGATTAACAGCGCAAAGAGAACCATAAAAGTATATATCATTAACCTCTCCAGATTTGGAAAACCCGTAATTTCTTTCTTTTAGGTCTTGGAAATCCAAGCAACCCATTTCTACTTTATTACGATTGAATAAAATCAGTTGATAAGTTATGCTATAGTTTCATGATTGCTTCAATAATCAGAAACCAAAATTCAAAAACTTTGGAGACCCATTTTTGGTAAAGTTTTCAACTTCACACCGACATGTTCCAGCGCATTGTTCTAACATGTTCAGAATCGATCAGCAAAGAAAGACACCACACACGAGAAACCACGCACACGACCAACATTGATTGATCTTTTTAACACCCCAACAAGCATTGACCGGTAGCAAACTTCAAAAAAAATTCCACATCAAAGTTAAGGGGTAAAAATGTGTGATGAAGAATCAGAAACGCAAGAGACCAAATTGAAGTGAGAATCGAAATGGGTAATTACCAACTTGAAATGAAAAGGTCCCTCCAATTGAGGGAAGCGAAGTTGCGAGGGCCAGAGACATGAAAGGCATATGGGTGAGACTCAGGAGGAACAACCTGGTTGGCCATTAACGCAGTAAACATCAGCACAAACAAACCTTTTGGTTTCTTAGTGTTGTTGTTTGCATTGCATGGTGGTGACGGAGAAAGAGAACGCGTGCATCTTAAGGAAAGGTGCCAACTTGTCCAAACCAACTTGGTTGGCTTTGGTTACGCGTCTGATATAATTTGATCCACACGTGCAGATCAAAACTACTGTAAGCAGTTTTTGAGTCAGTTGATGTGGAAATTAAAGTGAACACTCTCAAACACATACGAAATTATGCATTTACAAGTCCCTATATATATAGTATTTCTTCTCTTTGCTCATGCTTTTATGTCAGTGATTTTCAGTGGAATAAACACTGGCATTGTATTCTTCCATTTTTTTATTATTATTTTTGTGTATTCTAAAAATATGAAATTTTTAAAATTTATTATTTATTTAATTGTAAGTTGAAAAAAGTTAAGGAACCAAATGCTCAATAGCTATTAAAATATGAAGATGGGTTAACTCATTCAACGTATGAAAAGGAATATGTTTTCCTCCCAAATATTTTTAAGTACATATAAATTATTATTAAAAAAATTAGCTTCTACACACTAAATTAAATCTGGAAAAATGGGAACTGGTCAAAAAATGAAAATAGAAACTAGTTAAAATTTGTCAAAAAGATACTCACAACAAACAAAAATTATTTTAAAAATAGGTTTTGTTAATAATTTTGTATAGCGTGGTATTGGAAAAAGATAACTTGTTCATCTTCATGCGGAAAGGTGGCAATTATGAACGATCAGTTTTCATTTCAACGCACTTTTCAACACCGTTTTGGTTTCTAAATTCGGTATTTACAATTTCAGAGAATAAGTTCATACAATACATACCACTGCTTTATTTCTGTGGAATTCGAACTTGTTCTCTTCTAAATACACTCTGACAATGCTTTTGTGTTATTTTAAATGTTTTTCTTTGTTCTGTGTTCTTAAAAAAGTTAATATATCTTTTAAAGGTGATTATAAAAAAGGTTCATATAATTTTTATATAAATGGGTCAATAATACATGTTTTAAAATCTATTTCACGAAACGAAACAAACTCATAAAGGCAATGTTTTTAAAATCAGTCCTAATTAAACACATTTTATTATTATATAATACTAGTGAAAGTATTTGTATATCTAATTATTTATTATATTCAAATAGAACAATTTAAAAAAAATATAAAATATAGATAATTTTGAAAGAATTGTATAGAATATAGGATAATAAAACTTGAAAAGTTAAATAAAAAGAAAAAATAATAACATTTCCACAAAACAAATTGACATTGTATCTTAATCTAGTTAAAAATATATATATATATATAATATATATTAACGGTGGGGATTTATTTGGAAGAGTGATTATTGTGGTGGAACAAAGAACTAGAATCCTCCACAGATAATATTTGTGGCAGGGAAATGCCGCCATGGCCACTTAAAATACCGACCTGAAATTGCAAAGCAGAAACCAAAATGAATGAATGAATGAATGGCATTAGCATCTAACTCCAAAACTCACTGTATGGCCATCAATCTCACCACTGCTTCTCTTCACTCAAACCCTTCCTTTCTCACACACAAACATCACAACCCCATCAAATTCTACCACCCTTCTTCCTCTTTACTCACAACTTCTGCCCAAACACAAGGGACTGACACTCCAATCACGCACCAAGATGCTTCTCCTGGAAATGGTATTTATGCTGACAATTCCCACCCACTATTTTTTTTATATATAGATACATTGAATTCAAATATGGGCTGAAGGAGATAACCATGAATTTCCATGTTAGTTATTTATGTTTATGCTTGTACATATAAAATTATTTATGCTTTCTTGGATGATGGGCACTCCACATATATTCACATATGTAACAAATTATGACAGTTTATTTTAGTATTTGTTGCATCCACGTGGCTACACGGGGAGAAATGAATGACAACTTTTATTAAATTTGAAATATTTGCAAGAAACTTAAGTGTTTAATCTCTTCTCTGTGTTTCAAGTTTTGTTATAATTTTTAATCTTAAACACAGCTGAAATTTCTATAAAATTATAATTTTACAATGAGTTTCTTTGTCCTCATATCTGACTTGGCTTTTGAGTGCCTGTCTTGGTAGGATCTTTATCTTCTTCTCGTGCCCAGTTGGATCTTTTGGACCAACTTACATCTACAAGCTCACCAAACAGTGGTATGTAAGCTAATATCTTCTTCTATTTAAAGCCTTTTTATCCATGTTAAAAGCCCCTTCTCTGTTTTGTTGTTAACTTTTTGGTTTAAATGAAATATGCAGAAGATATACACATGGCTGGAGAATGTGGTTGTTCTAATATTGTTAATGAAAAAAAAATATCTTAAAGGAAACACGTGAAAGCAAGAGTATAGTACCTTTGAAATCACAAAGTTCAAAGTAATTATGTTGCTGCCACATCATCATAATATCAATGGAGCGATGAAAAAGCTTGACGTTAATGTTACCTTATCCTCCCTCCTTGTATCCGCATATATAACGATGGTATCACGTAGTACTATTAAGCATAGACCAAATTCATGGTAAAATTTGGCTGCTGAAATAAGATTTGTTCGTGCATGATTATGTGTTTGGCATAGTAGTTGTATAAAAGGAAAATAACTAGCACGGAAATTTGAAAATTGAGTGGAAATTTAGCTCCTTAATGTGAGAAAATGTGTAAAATGAAAAAGGATTTATTTGTCCTTAATTTGAAGTCGCCTAAGTTTACAAGTTATTTTGATTCATATCAGTTGTGAATGCACCCTTACTTTCTCCTACAACATACTTTCTCACTTCTACATTTTTGGTATATGATAATGTACCTTTCTCTGCCCATCTTGCATACTTCAATGCTTTTTATCTCTCTATGTTATGAATCACTCCTGATATGCATGTTTGCCTCGTGAGTTATGTGAAAGAATGGTGTATAGCCATGTCTGTTTGTAACCTCTTTCTTATAGTTGGTTCTTCTTCTCTTTAATTTTCAAAAAAGGATGACAAAGATTGAAACATTTCTGGTTTGTAGGCTATGAAAGTGATGGTAGCTCTGGAAAACTTACAATCCGAGAGCAGCTTGCGCAGCTGATTGGAGAAAGGGATGATGATTTCAGCATACCCCTAGGCAAAAACTTGAAGAAAGTGAGTGCAAAGTTCTTGACCATTTCACAAAAGAGAAATATCAGGAGACAAGCTTACCTAAATGAAGTTTCACAAAGGAATGATTCCGTTTTCTTTGCAACCATAGGAGCATTTGTGATTCTTCCACCTTTTATAATACTAGGAATAGCTATATTGACAGGCTATGTACAGCTTTTTCCTTGAAATGTGATACAATTACGATACTTAGTGATATATTAACGTGACATTAATAGAATTTCTTAGCCTGGTGTTTGCTTTCTCCTGTTTTAGTTATAGTGTCTGTCTTTCCCTTTTGGTTAGAAAGTTCTTTGTATTTTGAAATGCTTATAAACACTGACAAACAATGTCCCTAAACGTTGAAAAACGTCATGGATAGTATATTGATCTATTTCCATGATCAACAATTCAGTGGTTGAAAAAAAAAAAAAATTCAGAACTGATTGTTAGAACACAACAAAAATGTATCTCACAAGATGATATTACAAACTTTTCAATGACTGCGACTTCTCAATAAAAAGAAACTAGGAGAAACATATTTTATCTCATGGGAAGAAATTCAAGACCATCAGTGCCCTTACGTGTTTCAAATACTCGCACATATGGCAAGGCATTGAGACATCTCTCTTAGCATGAGTCAGTTTCTTGATAAGTAGGAATCAGTAGTTTGTACTCAGTTGTCCTAAACCGCTCCTTGGTTTTGTATGTAGACCCATTTTTCTTGAAGAAGGTAGAAGATCACAATCAAACATATCTGAACACTGAAAAGTATATTCCAAGTTGTTATGCTTTTAGATGTTTTTTCTTGGTAGGCTTGTAAACCAATAAATACATTCAGGACACCCAGCAATGACGTTGCAGTTCCCATTATCCAGTGTGCAAAGAACCACAGACTTCTTCTTTTGGATCCCCTGTGAAGAACAAGAAAATAATTGTACCCTAATCATCATTCTTTGTAAGCAAAAAATGTAGCAGTTTATCTAGCTGGCTCTCTAGAACATATAACATACAACAAGAAAAATCTTTAAACAAATTTAGAAGACATGAATACTGTGACTGCATTGCCTAAGTTTGGTGTTAGCTAAGGATAAATGGCCTAATCCAATAGATTGCATGCGTTTTCTAGATAAAAGGCAACTCAGTGATTCACCTTTGTGGTCGAAAAATACCAACTAGAACTTGCAGCCAGATAATTCCATATAATGCTACCCCTAATCTTTGATGATTATTGTTGAAGGAGTTGTTGAAATTTTTTATGGACATGATTGCTCCTGCAGTAGCAAGAAGTACGGCAAGCTTCTGCTGAACAGAAATCAAACATGCAAATAATTAATAAAAAGGAAAGGATCAATGCAAGAAAGCTTTAAAAAAATCCTAGTTACTTAATAGTATGGCTAAATTCACTTCTGGCCTTCTTTTAACTTGACCTAAGACTTGGTTAATGTACAGACAACAGCATAATTGCGTAGTTCTTTTCACATGCTCTATTAAAAAATGTGACAGAAAACCTGGAACTTCCAATAACCAAGAAGATTATTCTTAAAGCTCCTTTCTTGTCTTCAAAGCATTCATTATAGTCCTTTTCAATAAACAAAGATGCAATACCCCTCACTTGACCTGATGTAGTGACTAACAAGTTAGACAAATAAATTAACTGTAAAATTGGAATCTTGCTATTCTTATGTCCATTCCACCATCATGAAAAGTTAATCAGTGGGACACTTGCCCTTTTAAACTATATTGAAACCACAAAACTTAATTTTTTTTTTCCACTACAAATATGGGTTGACAAGCAAAGGGATAAGAAACTAATAAAATATAGAAAAAATGTGATATCTGATATGAAAATGTAACAGGGGTTTAGACACTTTCCTGCAAAACTGCATGAACATAGAATATGATTCTAAGCCTTCTTCTATTCCCCTCTCTGTTGGACAGTCTAATGACTAGTATACCAACAGGCATCAAGAACGCCATTGAAGCCCACAGGAGAAGCCCATGTAATGTGATTTCGAACTGAAGTCTAGGACTCATCTTCATAAACAGACACAAAACAAAAAAGTAGCTTCACAAAAAAAACATGATATTTATGAAATAGAGGTTTATAATTAAAGGGATAGCAATGCAGACAAGAGTAAGAGTAAACCAAATTATGTTTCCAACTTGATTGAAAAAAAGTAGGAAGAATAAAATGAAGGAATGTAATACCTTCGTGTTACGGTCTTTTCTGCTTGAATATCTGCCTTTAGCCTTATGCTGTTCAGATGCGCTAACAATGAGAAACATAACAAAAACAATACTTACTTGAAAGAGGAAAGCACTGAGCTTTTGCTGAACTCCCATTCTTCTTTTGTTGAAAATATGATGATGGTCAACTCAATCTTCAATGCTAGTGAAGAAGACTTAACAGCAGAAAAACTATGATATTCTGAAATTTGTATGTGTTCCTCTCCTCAAGCAGGGCCTAGGAAACGTACATAACATGACTCTGCTGGTGTATTTGTGTTTGAAAGATATATTTATTGCCCTCTTACCTTTTTTCTCAGCTAGCACGACGAAACAATTATGTCCAAATAAGGAGAGAATGATATCATCTTGAAGCAAGAGTGAAGTCGTCAATGAGCCGAAATAGATAGTTTTAACCTTCATAGTAATTATATATTCCAGCTTAAAGAATATATATAATAGGCTTAATAGCAGTGGTTGTTGCATGAAAAATGATGGTTATGAAAGTGGGGTGTGGAGATGCATAATGAAGTAAGATTTCAGGCTAGTGGTTGTGGGGTTAACTTTCACAAACTTTTTGCGTTTATGGTGGAGAATATGGAGCTTGAGAAAAAGGGTAAAAAAGGTGTCAGATTTCGATGGAGAGTTCTGAAGGAAAAAGTGGGTTGCGGTAGACTTCCCTCCTAAACACTATCTTCTGTTTCCCAATGCTCAACACCATTATCATAACATCCCTGAGCAAACCATGTTCGTTCTCAAACCAAATGCTTAGGAAGAACAATTTCTTTCTCTTTTTTTTATTTATTTATTAAAAGTAAAGCGAGTAAAATCGAATTCTACCAAACTTTTTGGGAAGAAAAAAATGTTATTCTTCAGAAATAGTTGAATTATTTTTTATTTCCCATGTATAATGTCCTTCTTTCTCGAGGCACTAATGCTGTGTTTGTTTGAACTGATTTGCGACGAAATACTGTTGACGAAGACAGAAGCACGAGATTCACCCACATTTGGTTGAACAGATTTGCGAAGAAATGCAGGCGAGGAAAAGGGGGAGAGGGGAGAGAGACTTTCTTCGCTAATCTGCGAAGAAAAGAGACGAAAGTCTGCTGGAGATAAAGAAACGTCTAACTTACCCTCTTCCATATGATAGCGGTTAAATCTTAACCGCTATTATAATAGCACTTGTAATAGCGGTTAAAACTTAACCGCTATTATATATCACTTCTAATAGCGGTTAAAACATAACCGCTATTATATATCACTTCTAATAGCGGTTAAATCTTAACCGCTATTATATATCACTTTAGATAGCGGTTAAAGAGGAACCGCTATTATATCCTCCAATTATGATCGATCATTTCTTAAATCTAATCGATCAGAATCATATTTCGCTCGAGCGATAAATAGTCGCTCAAGCGAAACACAACCCGAGACTGAAGAAATTAAAATATGGTTGTATATGATAGCGGTTCCACTGGAACCGCTATCTAATATACACTTTAGATAGCGGTTACAGAGGAACCGCTATTATATCCTCCAATTATGATCGATCATTTCTTAAATCTAATCGATCAGAATCATATTTCGCTCGAGCGATAAATAGTCGCTCAAGCGAAACACAACCCGAGACTGAAGAAATTAAAATATGGTTGTATATGATAGCGGTTCCACTGAAACCGCTATGTAATAGACACTTTAGATAGCGGTTACAGAGGAACCGCTATTATATCCTCCAATTATGATCGATCGTTTCAAATTATGATCGATCAGGATCGTTTTTCGCTCGAGCGAGATATAGTCGCTCGAGCGAAATGCAACCCGAGACTCGAATCTTAAAATATTTTTTTGAATATTATGTTTTTTAATTTGCTATTAGAGAAAACCTTTCAGAATTCAAAATGTTAAATAATTTTAAATATTAAAATTAACTTTATCAAAAATTAGGGAAACAAAATTTATCCAAAAGAGTTCAAAATGTATAAGAGTATTCTCAATTTTGAGTTTAATTATATTATTAATTCTTAAAGTAGAAAATTATATTGTAATTATTTTATCTCAAGTTAATGTGATGAGACGATCATCAACATTTCAACATTCGAGTCAGATATATGGGATATCTTCGTCTCTCCAAGTTGTTCATGTTCTTGAGTGGAAGTGATTGAATGATCTGAACTGGAGGACTTGATTGCAAAAGATGAATAACATTATAATTATTTGTTTGAAGAGCATTAGTGTGCATAGGTTTATAATTTTAGTAATGTTTCATTTAATTATTATTCTATTTTCACTATATTTTATATTTGTTTTAAATAATAATGTACAATTATATTATTAGTTTTCATAATTATTTGTTATTATCCGATCAATATTAATTATTATTTTATATTTTATAATTATTTAATTATTAGTCAAATAATTTATTTAATATGTCAACATTATTTGAATATGGATATGCAATGTACATAATTTTGTAATTGTTTATTTATATAATTTTTAATAACTATCTAAAAAAAGTTAATTTTTTAAATTTGTTTCCAATTACAAACACTTTTAATTTTGTTTTTTCTTTTAAATATATAATCAATGTTAAAATATGGATAATTAATTAAAAATTTATATTTATAATCATTTGAACCTTATTTTATACAAAGGGTAAAATGGTAATTTTCTTAAATAATCAACATAAAATTATAATTTTTATATCTCATATCAATCAAATCATTCACAATTTCCCATAAACTTTCCTTTCATTTTTCAATCATCTTCATTTCTCTTCAAATCCCTCATTTTCCACTCTCTCAATTCCACTCTCTCAAATCACTCCAACCAAACAAAGCCTAATAGAGAATGATAAATGGTTCATATCAAGTCTTATTTTTCAGCAACTTCCATGATAATACTTTTTCCATAATTTTGAACCACCGAGATCCATCTCAAGGAACTTTATATTAGCCTTTTGTTGGTGTTACTACTAGTTAATTAATCAATATACTTCACATTGTTTAAATTTTTTTGCCAAATCTTCAGTAGTGTGTCGTACTAATTATTACTAGAGACATTAAATCAGAAGTTTTCAAACATCTTTGCTAGGAAGCTGTAACTATCTTCGGGAAAATATCATAAAATCTTCTTTCTTTTGCCATCCGTCCATCATATCAATCTTACGGCAATGATCCTATCAATCTTTTTCCTATATTTTAATTTCATACTCGTATCTGGCTCTGACAATGGTTGGTAAAAAAAATGATGATAAGATGTGGAGAACACAGTAGACAGTCACAACTTACTCAACTGTACAACTATACAAGGTATGGTCCTCATGTTACCGATTCACCATTATTATTGGATTCGTGGTTTATTATTCGGGCTCTTCGGTTTGGTTTGGATTAGGGTATTTGAACAAATTTGGCGCGATGGATTTGAGGATGAATTTCTTTGTATAGTTGATGACAAACGGTACAAAAGGTAGCTGGACAAGTTTGTTTTGCTTCACTTGCTTGTTCCACTACTATACATGAAAATTAAATACTTCTGGGTAGATTTCTCAATAATTATTGAAATATTATCCAATGAAACTTTATATTATCCTTAATAATAAATGTAAATTTGCGTCTCAGAAATAGGATAATTCCTGCACAAGAGTGCAACAAAAGCTAAATGAGCAAATTGCCACGATTTAATATAGACTAAGATCACGATTGTTCTACGGAGTCAGTCACTAGTCCGCACAGACCCAGGAAATCTGTTTAAAAGAAGCTACGTGTAACTTATTTAATTTTCAAAGTTCTTAAATAGAGTTTTATTTGAGTAAATAAAACAAATTACAAGATTCTACCATTTTCAAACCTCGTTTTTACGTGAGAAATAGAAATTAAAAAATAGAGTACAAACAAGAAAAATATAATTTCAAAAAATGTTGCAAGAATTAATTTCATAAATAATATATTTTAAAAAACTACAGGAAAAATATCTATAACAAAAATTAGAGGAAAATATCCAATAGCAAATTTCATCCCAGAACAGAAACAAAAATGTGATCACATAAACAGGTTTGGCCTGGATGCCTTGTATGTTGTCTTGAGCTTCCTAGATGGGGGCCTAACCTTCTTGAAGACCAAAGGGAACTTGATTTTAGAATTGTGAAACTGCTTGGTGCTCTCCCTTTTGCACAGCTTGGCAGGGATGGTGGCAGTCTTAATTATCTGGATGCATGGATGCCTCACCCTATGACGAGATGCCATTTCATTGTACATTTGCTCAACACCACCATTCAGAGTCGTATCACGGTATTCCTTGTACATGTTGTGATAACCAGTACGACTCTGATAACGCAGCCATATTCCGTAGTTCTTAATCTTGGTAGGATTCTTCTCAAAAATCTGCATATCAGAACAAAAATTAAACCTCCATTTCCTCTATCCAGTCCAATGAGGTTGCAATTGGCATCTAGAATACAAATATTTGTTCAAGTATTACTTCCCTTAAGAAACTTATATTCACCCACACAATGTCCAAACTCCATTTGTCACTCATCTCAAACACTATTTCCTACTGTACTGTCTAGATAAGTTTAACAATTGCAAATAAGATACAACATGAATAAATGTCAATCATAAGGCTCGACTATGAAAATGCCTCACTGACTTCACCGAAAATCTTTCTGTTTTTACGAGGGATACAAAATTTCAGGTGAGGGAGGAGTTTAATTCAGCAAAGTAATTATATATGAATTAAACCCAGTGATCCAATATTAAAATAAAACAAAAATTATTAACAGGAGCTCCAGAATTCTTCAAAGTAAAAATCTAGCCTCATTGCAATCCTTTTTTGTTTTAAAAAAACTAACGCTCCTAGTAATTCAGTTTGGTGCAAGAGACAAATTGAGAAATGCACACCTCATTGATTGCTAGCATTTGTCCATTGCTTTTCTTGACCTTCTTCAACTTTCTCAAGAAATACCTAAAAAATCAACATTATAAAAAAAAATAGTAATGTCAACAAAGGCCATTGTTTTCACAACTAGAAAACATTGCAAACAAATTTTTATCAACATGAATTAACAGCATTTGAAAGAAGAGAAAAAAAAAATCATACCAGAACTTGGATTTGGCACGGACCTCGTTGGTGGCCCAGAGTTTCATGCGATAGATCTTAGGATGTTCATCGGATTCGGTAGGAAGAGCCCTTCCTACCACCTGGTACTGGTGAAACTGGTTCAACCATAATCACGACCACGTTAGAATCCACACAATAAAAAAACTCTCCAAACTAAATCAAACACGAAATGCATAAACATTGCATTACTCACCCTGACTGCAACCATCTCCACCGATTTCTATTGCCTCCGTCAATTACTCCTCCACTGCTAAGAGATAATCGACTACGCATCAGATATACTAAAACCCTAATAACCAGTGTCATCCTTATTGGGCCAGACTGAAGCCCCAAGCCCGTATTCACTTTTTTTACATTTGACTACAAGTTATAATACAACAAATTATTATAATCTGAATTATTATTTTTTTTTTCACAAGCTATAACCTATATATTTCAGTATAACAGTGATTTTAATTTTCATGATTTATAGTACAAGAGGTTGACTATAGTAACGTAGGTGACTATAGTATTTAAAAGTAAAATGTTTAGCATCCAAAACTCTTTTTATTTATTTATTTTTATTGACATGAAAAGAATGAATGAAGCCCAAATAGTATTCAACTTGGATGGACGCAGCTGAGTCCACGGTCCAACCCATCATCGATGGACCAACCAATGCAAGCAACACGGTTTGAATCAGCCACTCCACTCGCCAACACGGTTGTACCAAAATCAAAATATAAAATTTTAAAATAATAAGAGGGATAAATAGCAATAAAATAATACCAATGTACACAACTGAGAAAATTTATTTGTAAAGCCAATACTCTCAACTTTCAATATTTTAAATACTTTTTTTTTTTTACCACTAACTTACTTATATATAAAATCAATTTGATTCAAAATAAATTTATAGTAAACTACGTAAGCAAATCTACACGTACATAAATACGCATTACCTGATTGATGTCTCACTCACTCTACCACTATTCTCAGGGTAAAACACGACTCTTGAATTGAAAAATAATACCCCCTTGCTTCTTCGTATCTAAACCCTAGGTTTGAATATGGACCAAAAAAAGAATAAACTGTAGTCTTTTGCTTGAAATTGGGAGGAAAATAATTATGTGGTTATAGTCTACCAAGATTATTCGCCTTATGACCAAAATCAAAACTTTAAATATAACACAATGATAATGAAAAGTAATAAACAAATGTACCATGAGATTTATGGAAATATAAAAACTACAAATTTTACGATTTGCTATTCAGACTAATTCACCAAGAACAACAGTCAAATGCTTGTTGTCATCTAATTAAATATAAGGTTACATATAGATTTTTATTTTTTTATGAGAAACATATAAATTTATACCTAGGGATGGTAAAACGGGCCAGCCCGTCCGCTTTGGCCCGTCCCGCCTTTGGCCCGCCAAAGCGGGCAGGCGACTGACCGATATAGTCATGACAAGTATAGATCTTAGCCGCTCCGTCAAGGCGGGTTGATGATCTGTGGCTGCCCACTATAATTTAAAAAAAATATTTTTTTAAAATAATTTTTTTAATAAATTTAATAATAAGATTATTATTTGTTTGTCAATAATTTAATATATATATATTATTTCAATTTAATAATATAAATCAATACATTATTTTAAGAAATTATAATTTAGATCAATAATAAAATTTACATAATAATAAATAATAACAAATATATATATATATATATATATATATATATATATATATAAATAACGTTAAACTTATAAAATTTATATTTTTTATATTGAAAAATTTAAATATCTATATCTTTTTTATTTGATAAAACTTCATATTATTCTTGGTTGAGTAATTCTTACACCTTTAATTCAAGTAATAAGGATAAAAATAATCAGTGCTTAGGATAAATAAGGAGAACGAGAGAAGGTTATATTTCGGGAAGGAGAATATTTTATGTGAGAATGAAACTTTTTAATTCTCTTTTTAAAATTTTTAACTTTATATATTATCTTTATAATTAATTTTATTATAATAAAAATTATTTTATTATTAATTAGGCGGGCCGTGGACTGGCCCGACGGGTTAGCGTGACTTAGCAGGGCGGACCAAAACGGGCTGATGGGCTGAAAATACCAACCCGCCCCGCCATATTATGGCGGGCTGGCGGCCTAGCCAATTTTGCCATCCCTATTTATACCATGATCCTGATACTACTCTCTCGTCATCCTTGTAAATGTAAAATTTATCATATAAAATTGAGGCAAAAGTTGTAATGTTCATTAGATTACTGTCAAACTACCTAGGCCAACAATATAGTTGACCTGTTCTTTGGTTCCGTGCATTTTTATTTTGTTTCAGAAGTTGGTAATGTACCTAACAAAAATAGGCCATTGAATAATACATTGATGCGACATCTGGGAAGCAACCATGTCCATGTACTCTTTGATTTATTTTTCATTTTAAAAGAAAAAAAAGAGTACAAAATTTAAAGGAAACACTTTACAATAAAGTAGAATAGTACAACAACAGATGTTGCAGCAAATCACGAACAGTTATTGCTCCCTTCCCTTAGAAACTCAGGATACAGAACTTGCCATTTTCAATTTGAAAAAAAGATATGCATGGAAGCAATTATCCTTTGAGAATATATAAAACAATAACATGTTCAGAATGATAGTCAGAGAGAACATCTTGTAGAATAGAAAGAACAAAGTATTACAATTAAATGACACTCAAAATTGAAGCAGTTAAAATGTGTACAAAACAAATAGTTGTGTTTGTCATGTGTACAAAACAAATGTTCTATAATCACTTTTTATTTGTGTTTATCACTTTCCAATTTCCATCTAAGGGAAACCCAAAAACCTACCTCCCTGACTCATCATGTTTACAATTATGAGACTATACAGTAATAATACCCCTTTCAAACCCCTGGAAAATGTTAAACATCAGCACACTTCATTGGTGCATACCCAAGTCTGGATTTCTTCATATCATATAGTATGTGGAAATTCTGCTGCTGATAGTTTCCAATTATTGAAAGAGTTGATCGAGGAGTTCCCAAAATAGCCAGACAAACAATATCAGGATCAATCTGGATAAAGTAATTATCCACCGGAAAATTCCACACTGCTCCATCAGCAAATAAGATTCCAAAGTCAGGTAGCTCCATCTTGTCAATTCCCGTTACATTGTAACATGGCTTTAGTGGAGGAAGGCCTTCAACAAGTGTATAGCCCTTAATTTTCTTCACAAAAGCCTCCCTGATAATCTCATAAGCAGGTTCAGCAAAATATGTTAATGTGGTGCCAGAATCAATTATGGTACCACCAGCACCTTCTGCTGACAAATGCCAAGTCTCCTCAGGTATCTTCAGCACCTCACCATCGACCATAACAGACTTTATCTGGACATAGTAAAATGTGTCAAGTGAATCCTCTTTCCCTCCAGCAAAAGAAGTGAAATTCAAATTGGGGTGGCTGAGCAGCTCCTTGTCCTCACCAAAAATCAATTTGCTACTCACACTTGCATTGCTATTTCTATCCACAAGACAATAGGAAAAGGAATGACCATAGAGAGATTGCATCTGAGAAGCAAATGACAATGGTCCTCTCCCCAAACCTAGCAAACCAGCAGCGCCATGAAAGAGACCCCTATTCCAATGACCACATCCAAACATCACATTCTCCACATGCTTCAGCTCTGACCCCCCAGAAGGAGTGGTGAGATTAACAGTAAAGGTTTCCAACGCAAAATCCCCAGTTGTATTGGAACCATCCCCGTACCAATAGAAGTAGGGACAACTCTGATTCTCACCTTTGCAAGGCCTAGGTGGATCGGGGGATGAAACCAGTTGGCACCGGGGATCATGACAGCTTATATTCCTAAAAGAACTAGAATCTTTGGGGTCATAATATGGCCCACTCTGCTCAAAACATGCATTGCAAGGAACACATTGAATCCAATTAAGGTCACTACCAGTATCAAGTATCAGAGAGAAATGCTTAGGAGGTGTGCCCACAAACACATCCATGAAGTACTCACCAGAGCCAAGACTCACCCCAGATTCCAAAGTTGCCACGAGCTGACCGGAAACCCCACTTGCCGGAGAAACCGCCGGAGCAACCACGGGCTTGTATGACTGATTTGGTTGGTCCTGTGACTTTTGCAGCCTTGAAATGGTGTTCTGATTCTTCTTCTCTGTGACCCTTCGATGAAGGTTCTGGATTCTGGACAAATCCCTTAGGGTGGAATCAACCACAGATTCTTTAGGCTCAGCATCTTCACTCCCTGACCTGCGTTTCAAGTGGAGTTTCACCAATTGCTTGTGAGGTTTTGGTGCTGGAAAAGCCTCGCCCTCTTCCTCAGTTTCTTCACCTGATGTCATGGTAAGTCCAGAATGCCCAAGTTGCTCAGAACTTGTGAGGCTACTACAATCAGTGTCCCCGGAAGAAGAAACAGCAGTGAAACTCGGATGATCAGGAAACTTTATGGCAGCCAGAGAAGATCCATTTTGGTTGAGATTATGGTCGAGATTCCTCGAAATGGCTTCCACAACACAGGAACATATCACAAGGAGAACCACAATGAGAGAAACCTTCAAAACCATAGTATTGATAATATCCTCTTTCTTGTACCCAATGAAAATCCTAGATCAAACCTAGAAGAAATTTCTGAACTTGGCCAAGAGGGTGAAAGAAGGAGCTGAGTTATAAATCTCTCTCAAAGGCAATCAATCAGAAGCAAAATCTTAAAACAAGAGGGAAAAATAATGAAGAGGGAGTAAATGTAAATTAAAAAATGCCAACTTATGAGTTTTGGGGCCAAAACATTAGCTTTGGCAGATGGGAATTGTTTTTGAAGGTGAGAGTAGGAAGAAAGGAGGGTTGAAAAGCAAGTTGGTGTGACTCGGAGCTTTCAATCGTGTGACTTTAGTAGTAACAACAATGAGAAAGACTTGGAAGCCTGATGTCAAAGTTTATGTCCAACAACGCGCTTTCATCAACAATAAAGTATTAAAATATTTATTACCTCTTACAGTGAATTATGAAGTTTCTTATTAAAGACTACTGTTCCCGCGTGTTTCATAAATCAGACATAAAAATTTAATGACATTTTTACATTACAGAAGCTAAGCCAAAAACCAAACATATTAAGAATAGAATAAAAAAACATCTCTCAATCATTTTCCTCTCTGCTTCTGCTTCGGTATTCATTGGCTTGTGACTGTGCCGCATATATTACTCTTACATGGCTAGGCTGCAAGAACCAAAAGTCAAAGACAGTGAGTTAGTTAGGAGCCAAAAAAACTAAATGGATGAGTAAAACTAAAAATCTGGTCGCTGGTCAGAGTTTTGAGTCGGTCTTCTCATCTTGCAAATGAAGGGAACGTGGAGAAAGACAAATCCACCTTTGTGACTTAAATAACTAGAAACAGATGATAAAGAATTTGTTGAAGGGAGCCCACTTTCGAGCTGGAAAGTAGAAGAAACTTATGTGAGAGGGGGTAACAAAATCATGGTGATTCAGGAGAACGAGATCATTATCGACCTCTCCATTCCTCAGAATTTGTACTTTAAAACGATCAAGTAAGGTATTATTTATAATATTTTTATATAACCTCCAAGATCTTTATTACTTTTAAATAATTATATTTTAATTAAATTAAGATAAAATAAAAATTAAATTAATTTTAATAAAAAAATTTAAATATAACTTTTTTTATAAAATATATAATATTTTTTAATTAATATTAATTTAAAATAATAATAATTTTATTATATTTTATTTTAATCATTATTTACTTATTTTTTATTATATTTTATATTTATAATATTAACTTATTATATATTTATTATATTATATAAATATTATTTTAAAAAATTAGAGGAATGTAATTAAACCTTGAATTCATATAGATTTGATTTTTTAAAATATAAATACGTAAGTGGTAATGTGTCACATTCATAAATATTACAAGATTCTCATCTAATTCTTTTAAATTTCATTATTTTTTATTTAACTAATTTATCTAGAAAATACATGAAAAATATTAATTATAAAAAAAACTTTATCGAGTACATTTAGGATAAAATTAAAGTAAGGGATTATATATTAGAATTACAACTTTTTAAGTGAGCAAAATTTTAAATAAAACATTTGTAGTAACAATAAGTTTTTTTTCTCAAAAATGTAGTTTAAAAAATGGGAAAAAAAGAAAAAAAAATTTACCGTTATCAAATCGTGTAATATGAAACTATTAAAATCTTTATCAAGGAACAAATGTTATAAATTTTTATTTTATATATATAAAATTATAATGAACATATCATTATCTTAAAAAGTTATAAATAAGTGTTAAACTATTCTTAAAAAAAACGGACAAAAATATAATTAATATATTAAAATCATTTAAAATTTTCTGAATCAATGTCAACCCTCATTAAAAAAAAACTTAATTTTAATACAGCACAGTATAGATTTATAATATATATATATATATATATATATATATATATATAAACTTAAATTTGTGATATAAGTTTAAATTCAGGATAAGTAATATTTAAAGTTAATTATCATAAAAGTTATTAAATTTGTTTAAATATAATAATTATAATTGAATGAAAGTGTAAAAAAATAAAAATAAAAAAATAAACCAACTCTTAGAATACTATCATATCAACTTAACTTACAAGATTTATGATAATCTCTGTGTCTATAAGTACGGAAATCTAACAACACTTTTCCCCAAATCCAACCAACATACTCTCTTAACAAGAATATTCAATTAAATTAATAAGTGAATATATGTTTTGTACATCATCTTTTTATTTGCCACTTTTTCGAAATAAGAATATTTTCTATTATCTCTTTAGTTGGATATATTATTTACTTTTAATAAACCAATAATCACACGTAAGACATGCATAATAAAAAATTATAAACACCCTCTATAGAAAGTAGACCCCCAAAGGCATACGGAAGAGATAAACTAATAAGAGAAAGAAAAGTATATTATTATTATTATAATAATCCATAATTAATGTGACATGAAAGAAATAAAAAAAATATATACATGTGGAGTGTTGTAGGTGGGTACATGTTATAGTCAATAAAAATAGAAAAAGAAAAAAATGTAAGCATTTATTGGATGATGTGAAATAGGAATATGTGCACAAAAGGATGCTCAAACTGGTGTGAATACCCAGAAATCTCAATCACTAGGCAAATAGGAACATTTTTGTGGGATTTACATGGGATCAAGGAAGATGTCCAAACTATAACAAATTAATTTTCATTAATTGATTTTTATGAGAAATTAAAGATCATACTTATCAAAACTTGGTTGATTCCATTCCTTTCAATCAGAGACTGTAGTTTCAATGAACTATCGCATACGGCAATGAACTATAACGTGATGTAAGTAGCACTCATCACTATTTGAAGGAAAAAGAAATCCAATATTACTCTATACTTAGTTTGGTCAACAAAATCAGCTGGGGGATAAAGTGGAAGTGCATGTTCCATTTATATAATTAATTATTTGTTAAAATTGATCTCAAGGTTGCTTTCGTTACATGTATTTAGTATCAAATAAAAGATTTTTGTCCATCGTTACGCACTGAGGTATTAATAATCAATAACAAAATTACCTACAAAGACAACCTAAATGTAGTTTAAATATTTTTATTGAACAAAAATAAAAAATAGTTTGCAATGTATTTGTTTTACTACAGTATACAAAATTGTAAAGACTTGTTTATTTATTTATTTTAAATTATTTTTAGTTATTTAATTTTTAAAAATTAATTTGATAAATATTTTATTAAAATATTTTTCAGTTTTGATTTTTATTAATAATATTTTATATGGTATCATAAAATTATGAAACTATCTTTTATTTTTCATTTTTTAATTGACATAAATATCATTTTTTAATTAAAAAAATTGAATTATTTTTTTAATATTTTTTAAGTTATTATTAAAACAATTTAAAAAAAACTAAACCATACCAGTAATAATACAAAAACAATTTTCATTTTAAAAACAATTAAACTATTTACATTTTACATTCACATATTACAAATTATAAATGAAATGAAATGAAAAACCCTTGAAACCCTACCGACGGCGATTGTGTTTGGTATTTGACATCCACCCTCCATTTGAATGAAGAAAGGGAGGGAATTATTGGTTGGCAGTTACAAAACCCTTCACCAAAACCCCATTCCCCTAGCCCCAACTCACTTCCACCAAACGATGTCGCTTTCCGAACCTCCAAACCAATACTCTTACTCCCCCTCTCTGCACTGGAACCCACGGGTTCACCAATACTTCCTCAATGCCTACGGCGCCGACCACTTCTCTCGCATATCCGCTGCGCTAACGTATCACTTCCTCAATGATATCTCTTAACATATAGTTAGAGACTACTTCAATTAGTTATTCAAATATTTGATTCAGTTCCTGAACTTATTTTCGTTGCAAAGTTTGATTTTATTGAGTTTTCGATTTCGCAGACGACCTTCTTGCTACTCTTGCATTCGAGTTAACACACTCAGGTCCGCGGCGGATGCCGTCGTGGAGAAGCTGCGCTCGCTCGTCTCGACTACGGCAGTGCAGTACGATTCTGAAGATGGGGTGGCTAATTCATTGAAGGAGTTTTTGGAAGATGCACCTGCTCCTTTTTCCAAGTGCAAGATTCCCGGGCTTGATTATGTGGTGTTTGTTTGGGGCTCGGGACCGCACCGTATCGACTATGGTGAGGCGCCTCCCAAGGAGGTCATTGTTAGTAGGAAGTGTGCCGAGGCAGTTCTTCGAGGTGCTCAGGTTAGTAATGTATTTGCCAATTGTCAAATTCTGTGTTGTGAAGAGTTTGATTGGCTGTTACTAATGTTAGTTTTGGATTTAGGTATATGTTCCTGGTGTGATGGCTTGCAGTGCTCATGTTGAGAAAGGAGATACAGTTGCGGTTTCGGTTGCTGTGGAGCAGCAGGGTGCTGATGGGGGATGGGGTATTGCTATGACACGGGGCACTGTTCTCCAAGGATTAGAGACAGGTAGAATGTGTGTACTCATTTTGGGTTCTGTAGATATGTTGGTAGACCTGACTTTTTAAACTTGCACTAAAGTCCTAAATTACATGGCCTGAAAAGCCATAGATGGGAAATTGGATATAGACATCAGGGAGATGAAGTTGTATTTTCAAAGAGACATGGTAATGTCTTTTTCATAATAGAGTTTTAAATAGTAAGACATACGTGGGTTGTTCTCTGCAGAAATTTTCTGAACGATGTTTTGTGAAGACAAGTGTTGTTTCTGTTGAAGTAAACTTTTGGAATATGGTTGATAGGAATTTGTATTTTCCTTGTTTCACAGATACTTATTATTTTGAACGGAATGGGCTTTATATTGGGCAAGGAACAGCTATGATGTCAAGGGCTGGGATGTTCCGTGTTTCTGAAGGAGTTGGTGTGGATATGAAGGATAGAGTATATGATCTTCATTCTTTTCATAGTAAATTTCGTCTCCTACTCATATTCATAGGCAGTATTGTAATTTTGTCTTTTGCATTATTTCTTGCTTTAGTCTTTCTTTTATCACTTCAGGGTTTGTAATTTATGTTTGTGTTTAAACATTTTTTAATGCTGCAGAAATTTCATGTACAATTAATTCTCTTGTACGTTTTTGTTTCTCTTTTTACTATATGCATCATTAATTATTTTAAATTATATACCTAACTTGTTGTTCCCCCCTTCAAATGCTACGTTGTGCATTGAGTAAGATATCGAAGCTTGCTTGAGTTAATTTTTTGTATATGTTTGGCTGCAGTTGAGTTGATTTGAACCTTGAAGCTTATGAAATCTTTCTGTTATTGTTATGATATAATGGGGGCATGCATAACAATGTTAACTTTTCCCCCAATAAATTTGTGCTAGGAAGACATCTTTATTTTGATCTAAATGGATTTCAATCTATGAAGCACTGACTCCGACACGGGCTCTAAGACACGACACAGACACTGGGACACGGCGAACTTCTAAAATATAGGACACCCGGATACCTTATATATATTAGACATGAATGAAAATTTAAATATGATTCAAATGAGAAATATATAAATTAAAAATTAAGATTTTTCATTCATCTTCTCAAGACAAAGCTCTCCTATAATGAGAAATAACCTGGTGGTTGATATCCACTTACATAATTATTGGCAGCAAAAGAAAAAACTCTCCTATAATAAGGATTTCTTGCTAAATGAAATGACAATCCTGATGAGTAAAACATCCTAGCAATTTCATAGTCTAATGTCTCTCTAGCTTGCATATTGAAAGTTTTATCTAGTGATCCAGATGTTTTCCTTTTTTTGAGATCAACACCATCCATAGATGATTCATTAGAAACCGGAGGCAAAGGGACAAATTTTGCCTTAGACCTTTCTATCTTCAATGTAGCTTCATTGTCTAGCTTTGTTAGTTCACCAAGCTTCAAGGGTGTTATTTTTTGACAACCTCTAACTCCCTTTCCCGTAATCTTCAACAAATGTGCTCTCACTCTAGTATAAGATCCATTGAAAGTAAGGTTACAAATATTGCATTTTACTTCATAATTTCCACCACCTCCACCAACACTTTTTATCTTTATAACATAATTCCATAGGGGTTTGATATTATCATCTTGTAAAGGCTGACTAGAATTACTCATTTCTACAAAAATGAAACCAATAACATATGATTTTTTTATGTTCATAATTCCATAACTATCGCATTCTAATAAAAAAAAGAAACATTATAAAGGAAAACAGAGCAAAACAAAGACCTAAACAGTGGACAGCAAAAGAGAGCATGATGCAGTGGAATACTTGAACAACAATGAAGACCTACACGGCAAAGAGCAAAACAGAGCAAAATGAACAGCAAAAACTTCAATTAACAGCGGAAGAAAACATAGCAATCCCCACTTTTGAATTTCGGATTGCTTCCAACGGTCACTCTCTACCTCTTTCTCTTTCACAAACCCTATATTCCTCCCTCTCTGTAAATGGGTTGGAATCTCATTTTCTAGCTCTTCATTTGTTTCCTTGCCAACATTGGCCTTCTCGCCTCCACTTTTTACCAGGTTTTGATCCTATCTGATTTGGAATATGATTATGTCAACCCGTTCGACGCTTCATCTAGGATTAACTACTTCGTTGTTCCGGAGTTCATTGGGCAGGGAGCGTTGTGTGCTCTGTGCTCTCAGATTAACTACATAGTAGCACGCAGCAGAAGAAAGTAACTGGAAGTAAAAAAGAAAAGCTTTTTTGGATGAAAGGAAAGTTTTGGCGCAGAAATGGAAACGTGCAGAGGAAGGAAGGAAAGTGGGAGAAAAAAGAACGTAAATGGAAAAAATTCAAAATTTTTTTTATAAAAACTATACCCGAGTCGAAGCCGTGTCGACACCGTGTTAGATATAGGTCACGCCATGTCCACCATGACTCAAAGCCCCGCGACGCGTTTTTGGTCTAGGGGACACTGCAAAAAAGAGTCGGACACGCATCCTCAACGTGTCGTGGCGGTGTCGGTGTCGGACTCGCGTGCGACACTTCGACACAGATGAGGGGAGCTGTGTCGGTGCTTCACAGATTTCAATACATGAGTTTAAGATTTACCATAATCTCATTAGTTGGTACTCCTAAATATTGTTGCTCTAGTATGGAGTTGATGGAGGAATTTTAGAAACAAACAGTACATTTCAACGTGTGTTGAAATCTGTAGGAGTTTTAGCATGTGTTCATGGTTGGATCTTTTTGTCATTGCTCAAGACAAATATAAGAATTGGCAGCTGTTATGCATATCTGAGGATATTAACTTTAAGACATTATATTTTATATGGTTTCTTGTTTGTTAAAGAGGAGGGGGTGGAAAGCCTGGGAGACTTTTCTAGCTTGTATGAAGCCTACTGATATTGTGATTATAGATGTGAGATAGAATCTGGTGTGCCATGGATATATATTTTTCCAGCGTTTTCTCATTTAATTATTTATGAACTTTTGTTTGTGCAAACATTTATTTATTGTTTTGCTCTTTTGTCTATGCATTGTTTTTTTTTTTTAACTGTAGTGGCAACCATTTTGTATGGTCTTGCAATCCCTGGGTTAATCTCCTTGGTGACATTTATCTTTGCACTCTATATATTTGGAAAAATTCTGAAATATTTGTGGTTTCGACTGTATAAATTTAGCTGATGTATTATTGTTTCTTTTTCGGTTTCCTAGATGTGCTCGAGGGAGAAATATTTCTTCAAAATTTGCCAAGCATTATTGCTGCTCATGCATTAGGTACATAAATTAGAGTATTATTTTTTATTTTCTGACTTTGGGGTAATTTTCATGCCATGGTATTGTTGTCCATTTGTTTTCCTTGACAGTAAATACTTCTTTGCCATATTCATTTGCAATACAGATTAAAACACAACTGTGAGAAGTTGGATTTGAACCCTCAGAGGATAATGTTGCTCTAGCAACCATGTGGGCCTCAGTACAAATCCTTTTTTCAATGGGGGAAAGGGTTCTATGTAGACCACCAATCTGTTTTTATAGTTTTTTCCATATACCATTATCTAGAGAAAAATTGTACTTTTCCTATAATTTTTCACCTCATCAGGTTTATAGTCAATAACGAGACCATCTGAAAAATCCGTGTCTACAACGATTATTTATTTTTGGTTTAAAATGGTAAAGATAGAATTTCTGCTTTTGTTTTTGTTGCCTTTGTAATTTGTATTAAGGATTTTTTTTTTTTCCAATCTTGAAAAAGTATTTCATCTTTTATAGCATGGGCACTTATCAATAATCCTTGGGGGTTAGGTCTTGCTATGGTCTCATCCATGTTTTACTTTGCACCATAATTTTTTCCCCTTTTCATTGCGGTTTTATGTTTTGTTCATATTTTAAGAAGGATTCCCTACCTTTTTTTTTTTATTCAGATCCACAAATGGGTGAACGAATACTGGATATGTGTGCTGCACCTGGAGGGAAAACAACCGCAATTGCAATACTTATGAAGGATGAAGGAGAGATCATTGCAACAGATAGGTCTCATAATAAGGTGAGGATTCTGAACTCTAGTAAGAAGCTTACCTTTCCTATTTGCTTGCTTGAACACCAGTATGACTGGATGTTATTGTCCAAGGATAGCTTTCTGTACTAACATATTGTTTTATTTCTGATTTATTTCAAACTTTCAATGGTTGCCAGCCTTCTGTACCATGTTTTTGATACACAGAATATTGGTTTTGTTTGTTATGATTATGATAAAGTAATGGTATGAATCATGTAGAATTTCAATAGATTAATGGTTTGTTAACATATCAATTTTGATGACTGTCTAGGTGCTGGATATTCAGAAATTAGCAGCTGAAATGGGCTTGAGTTGTATAAAGACATTTAAACTAGATGCTCTTAAATCTGTTTGTCGAAGAGATGATATTGATACTTTTACTGATCCATGCTGTAATAATGCCAAAAATGATGTGACAAATCCAGTGTCTGATTCCCCAAATTTGGAAGTTGAAAGAGTGTCACCCATTGTTACAGAAGGTTTAACTCTAGACTCTGGAAGAAAGTTATATATATGCCTTTAATTGATACTTGCTGACTAATTCCTTATTGGGTCCTAAAATGTATTCAATTCCATTCTAAAACGTACTATCAAGTGTGTTGGAATTATACACTGAAATTGACTCACATTAACTGCCAGAGTTATTATACATTGAACCACTCTTATTGTCCTACTTTATTTTATTGACGGTATTGTCTGCTGATCGTGAAGTGTTGTAAAGTAAAAGCTTTTGAGACGACAACTCTTAGGGGCGGTACTATGATGGAGACTTGGGTATTATGGGTTGTTTAAGTCCTACAATGGGTAGTACGAGTTGCTCAATGACGTATTTAAGTACTTGATTCTCTACCCTTAACAGCTAGTTTTTGATGGTTAGATCCCTAAGTGTTGAGGTGCTTATTAGTTTCTACATGTGAACATCAAAGAAACTTATTATATTTTAAAGATAAAAGAGAAAACATCAGCTGGAAATACAGCACTGTGAATCATTGTTGTCTCAATTGTATGTTGTTTGTTTTACCCATAGTTCTTTTACTTGAACATCTATTGTTTGTTGGTTTCTTGAAGGTTGACACAGAGGCTCTTCATCATCAAAGTACCATTGAGTGTTAAAAGATGGTCCAGAAAGTGAATAGTGATGTTTAGTATTATGTTTGCTTAGACATAATTAATAGCCTTGAGTATTTTGTGATTAGATTTATTGGATTTCTGATGGTTCATTTCTTATTTGCTATGGTTTGTCACTTCTTTCCCGTTGTATATTTGTTATGGACACAAGAACTATTATTTTATCATCAATTTACAAATGCATTTTTGAATAATTTAAAGGTAAAGATGAACAGACAAACAGAGGAGTTTATGTTAGCAAAGCTGAGGCCCGGAAGAACATGCGAAGGGCTCGAAATGGACCTGGAAGAAATCAGTGTGTTGGTGGTAGGGTTGATCGCTCAAAAGGTTTTCATCCTGACAGTTTTGATAGAGTTCTTCTTGATGCTCCCTGTTCTGCCCTTGGTTTAAGGCCTCGATTATTCGCTGGAGAGGTAGAAGTGGATCTGTTTATGGAAATTTATCCTGCATTTAGTTGAATTTACATACGCATGCTTAGACCAATCTATATTTATTGGTGCAAATATAGATAGGATATTGGGACTACCGGCTTATCTTAAAGTGGAATTGTTTCCTCATTTTCTTTTCTTGATTTATACCAGTTAATTTTCTGCTTATGCATGTGTTCGAATGTTGTTCTTAAATTTGCATAAAATACTGGAATGTGTAGAAGTAATGGTTATCTCAATGTGATATGGAAATTGAATTATTCTATCGTAAATTCACCCTTCTTGCCCAGAATGTGTATCCTGTGAACTTGATGGATCACGCGAGTTACAGATTGGCAGGTGTGATGGACAGTCATTATCTTATCTGTGTGGGTGGTTAAGGCAGTGTTTTTTTGTTCTTTTTTATCATAAAAAGAAAAGAAATTTCAACACAACAAAAAATTGCTTTTTAAAGAAAATAGTGGTAACCATGCAATGCATTTGTTTTTGTCAGGAAACAATTGAATCTTTAAGAAACCATGCAAAATACCAGAGAAGGATGTTCGACCAGGCTGTTCAATTAGTTCGACCAGGAGGAGTAATTGTCTATTCCACGTAAGGATGTGCTTTTTGTTGATCACATTGCTCTATGCATTCTTACATGTTTTCTCTTATGATATGTGGTCATGTTTCTTCCCTATCGGCTATGACATTTTTATTAGAATCCATGCCTTGTACTTTGTTTTGGTTTCTAAATTATAATTTATCTTTATAGGAAAAATAATCATACAATATCAACTTCTCATGCCCTCTTCATGTTATCAGATTTTGTAATTGCCTTTGTTCTTGTTTTAATTTGTTATCAGTAGGTGTAAAAAATTTTCCTAAATGACAATTTCATATCATTGTCATTTTTATAATCTTTCGAAGCATATTTGTTTATGCTTACATTGAGGGCCTATTTGTTTAAGTGGAAAAGGGAAGGGATGATGTAATTAGGAAGGAAGGAAAACCATGAAAATTTTCGATTTTCTGTTGTTTGGAATGGTTTAATAAAGGAAGGAAAGAAAGCATATATATGTGGATCTCATTGTTAGATGTTTTCCCTCCTAATTGGAAAGGAAAGGAGAACAAATTTTACTTTATATGTAAAGATAAAAATATACTTATCTATGTTGCATATCAATTTTTTATTTAGGGTATAATGTCATTTTATACACATTTCTTTTCTTTCCTTTTTCTTTTCCTATTATTAAACAACCAAAAAAATCTATTAACAGTCTCACATTTAGTAGGATAAGCTACTTGATGTGGTACTTAAACCTTCAAGTTCTCCCACCTAATGGACTAGTCTTTTGAGTTGTGCCTCCTCCTGGGCTTAAGTCCTAACAATTGTTGCTTTCATTGAGAGTTTTGGTTACGTAAAGCACTACCCATAGGCTGGATTAAGGTGCAAACTGAATACTGATAGATGGGTGAAGCCGTCTCAAATAGAAAAAAGGGCTACCCACCGGGTTTGTGTCGATAGTGTGAAAGTCGTTGTGGATGTTGACCCCTAAAGGAGTATTTGTTAGGAGTCTCACATTGTGTTGTATGAGCTACTTGATGTGGTACTCAAGTTTTGAGATTCTCTCATCTAATGGACTAGTTTTTTAGGTTGGACTCTCATCTTATGCTTAAGTCCTAACTGTTAGATATGATTAGATATTAGTTGATATTATTTGATATTGTTGAGATATTGTTAGATATTGTTAATCACAATATCAAATAATATCTTTTTATTTACCCTATTTGTATTCTGTTACTCTTTTGAGGAGTACCTTTCTTTATTATAAATACACTGCCCTATGTGTGGTAAATACACAAGGGAAATTAACCCTATACAGTTTTTCCCTATATTCAACATGGTATCAGAGCCAAAGCCTAACATCTTTCCGGTTATTGTCATGGGCCAAAAGTTGCCCTTTAGTTGGGTCAAAAGTACCCTTTGCCTGGTCCGGCGGGCTTCGTTGGAGGGGGTGTGTTGAAAGTCCCACATCGCCGCCGCCGTCGCCACCGCCGTCCGCCGCCGCCGCCGCGGCCGTCGCCAGAGTAGCAGTTCGGACCGCCGAGCACAGGGTTTTGCTCGCCTCCTCCGTGCGACCTCCACCGTGGAAGTTTCGCGGTCATCGGAGCAGCCACGCTCCCTCACGCGCCTCCGAAGCCGCGCCACCTTCTCCCGTTCCGCCGCGCGTGGCGGCGCGTCTCGCCGCCGTTCGGGCCGCCGATCTTTGCGCCGGCGTCGCCCCCTTCTCCTCTCTCTCGGATCTGTCCTCACCGCTCCAATCGGACCTCTTTGGTGTTTTAGGGTTTTCTCTCTCTTCCTCCATGGCATCTTCCGCTGCCACTTCCAATTCTAAAGTTACCTCTGTCAGCTCCGGTGGGTCCGAGCAATCTGCTTTTACTAATTATGTCAATGTGAATTTACCCATTGATAAATTAGATGGTACGAATTATGCAACTTGGGCATCCGATATTAGACTTTGGCTTGAGAGTCGTGGGTATGTTGATCATCTTACTACCAAGGTAGATGATGTTCCTTCCAATGATCGTGTCCGTTGGAAGAAAGTTGATGCTCATATATGTATGGTTCTCAAGAATACCATCCAATCTTCTTTAAAACAAATTTTTCGATCGTATGGCACATGTTATGACGTTTGGGAACAAGCCAAATTATTATACACCAATGACACTCAACGTCTTTATGGTGTTTGTTACAATCTTCTTGATGTTATTGCTCCTCGAGATAAGGATCCTGTGGCGAATTATGTGGATCCTCCTTCGTCTGTACCTTCGGACAAATCTCGCTATCTTCAATGATTTTCTTCAATGGTATGAGGATCGAAAGCCCTCCAGTTCCACTACTTCGTTGCCCACACAGGTACATCATTTGCTTGGTCCGACTCACTCTTCTTCTATTGGCCCTTGGGTTCTTGACTCAGGCGCCACCGATCACATCACCGGTAACAAATCCTTATTTTCCTCTTTCACTTCTTCTCATAATTTACCCTCTCGTTACAATGGCTAATGGGTCTACAACTTTAGCTCATGGTGTTGGAACGGTTACTCTTTTTCCCTCGTTGTCCATTGATAATGTTTTGTATGTACCCGGGTCCCCCTTTAACTTATTATCCATTAGCCGTCTAACTCGATCTCTTAATTGTGTTATCTCTTTTACCAAAACTTCGTTTCCCTACGAGACCGGAGCTTGCAAAGAGTGATTGGCACCGGATGTGAGTCACATGGACTTTATTATCTTCAACCTTCTCCACATGTTGACACGGTTATGGAGTCTCCTTCTCTCCTTCATGCTCGGCTTGGTCACCCCAGTCTGCGCAAATTACAAGCAACTTGTTCCCAGCTTATCCCGAGTTGTCCAATTTGGTATGTGAGTCCTGTCAGTTAGGCAAACATAGTCGTACTTCCTTTTCTCGTAGTGTTTCCCGAGCGTGCTTCATCCCCCTTTGCCTTAGTTCACTCGACATTTGGGGACCCAGTCGTGTTAAGTCTAATTTAGGTTTTCAATATTTTGTTACTTTTATTGATGATTTCTCTCGTTGCACTTGGTTATTTTTAATGAAAAATCGTTCGAGTTGTTTTCTATATTCCAAAACTTTTATCATGAAATTAAAAATCAATTTGGTGTCTCTATTCAAACTTTTCGAAGTGATAATGGCCGTGAATATCTTTCAAACTCGTTTAAACAATTTATGGCTTCTCATGGCATTCTTCATCAAACTTCCTGTGCTTATACCCCTCAACAAAATGGGGTGGCTGAGCGCAAAAATAGACACCTTATTGAAACAACCCGTACTCTTTTAATTCATGGTGAGGTTCCTCAACATTTTTGGGGTGATGTCTGTTCTTACTCGCTGTTATCTTATTAATCGTATGCCCTCTTCGGTTTTAGATAACAAAATTCCCCATTCTATTTTATTTCCTCATGACACTCTCCATCCTTTACCTCCGAAGGTTTTTGGGTCTACCTGTTTTGTCCACAATTTTGATCCTGGTCATGATAAGTTATCTCCTCGATCACACAAATGTGTTTTCTTAGGATTTACTCGATCCCAAAAATGATACAAGTGTTTTTCTCCTTCTCTTAATCGCTATTTTGTGTCTGCCGATGTCACCTTCAATGAGTTTTCCTTTTACTTTAAGGACCCTTCCCTACCTGCTGAGTCTCCATCTCGCTACAGTTCCCATTCCTGTTCTCATTGATCCTTATGTTGAGGACCATCCACCATTAGCCCCTCCTCCTCCACCACCCCTTCGAGTTTATAGTCGCAGACCTCGCCCACAACGTACGCCACATGACTCACTCCCAGTGCCAAATACTCGCCTCCTCCGGCTCCAGTCCACGAGTCCGACCTTCCTATTGCCTTTCGTAAAAGTACACGTTCTACTCGTAATCCTTCTCCACATTATACCTGCTTTAAGTTATCATCGAATTTCTTCACCATTTTATACCTGTCTCTCGTCTATTTCTTCTGTGTCTATTCCTAAATCTGTCTCTGAAGCCTTAGCCCACCCTGGTTGGCGTCAGGCCATGCTAGATGAACTCGGTGCTCTTCGGACTAGTGGAACCCGGACGCTTGTCCCATTACCATCCGGAAAATCTGTTGTTGGTTGCAGGTGGGTCTTCGCTATCAAGGTTGGTCCTGATGGTACTATTGATCGCCTCAAAGCTCGCCTTGTAGCCAAAGGCTATACCCAAATTTTTGGGTTGGATTATGGTGATACTTTCTCTCCAGTGGCAAAGATGGCTTCGTTCGTTTATTCATTGCCATGGTCGCTATTCAACAATGGCCTCTTTATCAACTCGGATGTCAAAAATGCTTTCTTGAATGGCGATTTGCAAGAAGAGATTTATATGGAGCAACCTCCGGATTTGTTGCTCGGGGAGTCTTCTGGATTGGTATGTCGTCTTCGCAAATCTTTATATGGCCTAAAACAGTCTCCTAGGGCCTGGTTTGGAAAATTTAGCAGCGTTGTTCAACAATTTGGCATGACTAGAAGTGAGGCAGACCACTCGGTCTTTTACCGTCACTCGAATGCTTGGATGTATCTATTTGATAGTGTATGTCGATGACATTGTTCTTACAGGTAGTGACCATCATGGCATCTCTCGGATGAAACAACACCTTTGCCACCATTTTCAAACCAAAGATCTTGGCAAACTCGGATATTTCTTGGGTATTGAGGTAGCACAATCTACCGATGGCATTGTTATATCTCAAAGAAAGTATGCATTGGATATTCTGGAGGAAACTGGGTTGATGAATTCAAAGCCTCGTTGACACACCCATGGATCCTAATACCAAACTCTTGCCAAATCGGGGGAGCCAATGTCGGATCCTGAACAAGTATAGAAGATTAGTTGGAAAATTAAATTATCTTACAGTTACTCGCCCGACATTTCCTTTGCAGATCAGTGTGGTGAGTCAATTCCTCAATTCTCCTTGTCAAGATCATTGGAATGCAGTCATCCGTATATTGAAGTACATCAAAAAGTCTCCTGGAAAAGGTTTGGTGTATGACTCCCATAATCATACAAGAGTTGTCTGCTATTCGGATGTCGATTGGGCAGGATCTCCTCTCGATAGAAGATCTACATCTGGGTATTGTGTTTCCATTGGTGGTAACTTGATCTCATGGAAAAGTAAGAAACAAAGTGTTGTGGCAAGATCCGAGTGCGAAGCGAGTATAGAGCTATGGCCTCAGCTACCTGTGAACTTATTTGGCTCAAGCAATTGCTTAAAGAGCTACAATTTGGAGATGTCACTCAAATGACACTAGTGTGTGACAATCAGCCGCTCTCCATATAAGCTCTAATCCTGTCTTTCATGAGAGGACTAAACACATTGAGATTGACTGCCATTTTATTCGGGAAAAGATTATGTCTGGAGACATCAAGACTGAGTTCGTTAACTCATGTGATCAATTAGCAGATATTTTCACTAAGTCTTTACGGGGACCTAGGATGGATTATCTTTGTACCAAGCTAAGCACATACGATTTGTATGCTCCAGCTTGAGGGGGAGTGTTAGATATGATTAGATATTAGTTGATATTATTTGATATTGTTGAGATATTGTTAATCACAATATCAAATAATATCTTTTTATTTACCCTATTTGTATTCTGTTACTCTTTTGAGGAGTACCTTTCTTTATTATAAATACACTGCCCTATGTGTGTGTAACCCTATACAGTTTTTCCCTATATTCAACACTAACAAACAATTGGTGTTTATGCTGAGAGTTGAGCTACGGAAAATGTTACCTATAGGCAGGATTAAGGTGCAAAACCAAATACTGATATAGATGAGTAAAGTTGTATCAACGAGAAAAAAGCTACCACCAAATCAGTATCTATATAATGAAGCTGCCATGGACATCGGCCCTTGAAAGGGGTGACAATGTTAAGAGTCTCACATTAGTAGTAAGATAAGCTACTTGGTGGTGCTTAAGCTTTTGAGGTTCTCCCATTTAGTGGACTAGTCTTTGGGGTTGAACTCTTCTGTTGTGGTTATGTCCTAACAAAATCTCATTTTCCATTCTATTTCTTTCCTAAACTAAGAATACCATTATTTTCTGTGTATATCTAGCACTGGTAAATTCTAATAGTATTTGTTACTCTCTGAAATATATTTTATTAAGTTGCTAAGCCTTTTCATTGGAATCTGCTTCCAGCCAAACAGCTTAATACAAATATTGAACAGACCTATATTTTCAATTATCAGGAAGTTTCTTTTATCCCTATGATGCTCTGAAACCATTATGTCATCTATGGATGGGCTCTTCTGAAATTTGTTTTACCTTTTTATTTGTGAGACGTTACTGTTAAACTGATTTGTTGGCTATTGTCTTAAAATAGTTGTACGATTAATCCTGGTGAGAATGAAGCATTAGTTCGATATGCTTTGGATAAATACAAATATCTGTCATTGGCACCGCAGGTTTGATACTAATTTTTTGCAATATCAACTTTAATTTTTTTCAGTTGATTAGGCTTCTATAATTCTGTGTTTGTTATCTTCTAAAATTGAATTATATATTTAATTAACTGAAGGATGCATAAACGGTCTTATAATTAAGTAGATGGTAAAGTGTTGATTACAAATAATGAAACAAATTTCGATGGTTACTTTGTCTGCAATAAATTGTTAGTTCACTTTGGCGAGTTATTCTTATTTGCTATTTTATTTATTCCAGAATCCAAGAATAGGAGGACCGGGTCTAGTTGGTAGCTGCGAATTTCCTGATGGATATGTAGAGTAAGCCCTTCATCCTTTTGTCCATGATTGTGCATCTCTTATCCCTATCTTACACACGCCCTTGTCCACACTAATCTGTAATGCTGTTTAGTGTTTGAGGATTTACCTTCCATTTTTTTAATGAATAAAATAAAAAAATTCAGTGCCAATTTTCGGTTTCACATCATGATGTCTATACAGGGAGTGGTTACGACCTGGGGAGGAAGAGCTTGTTCAGAGGTTTGATCCATCATCTCCCCTTGATACAATTGGGTTTTTCATTGCCAAGTTTCTCGTCGGGTCTAAAGATACAGCTATTCATTAAATATTGGAGTGCATCTATGTTTTCTTTTATAATTGCCTCTGAAGGAAGCCATCAGATTTTTTACGATTGGCCTCTGACAACCGTTTGGGAGCTTCAAAGATGTCCATTGATAAATGAATTAAGAATGAGTATGACTGCTTCATTTCAATGTTGCAATCTAAATCGAAGGAAAATTTTGTTGATTTAGAGTAGTTGTAACTTGGCTTTTACCTTATGGAAGGGAAAGTTGTTCAAAGATCGTGCTGTTTAGAAGCGAGTCTGCTTCCGTAAGTGTTGGTTCTGGTGAGGTTAATTATTGTAGAACCTATTCCGCGTCTGTATTCTGTACACATGTATTGTCAACTTGTTGTAGCTCCTATTTGAAGCTCATAGTTTTTGCGTAAATTATGAATGATGCGACTACATGAACACTCAAGTCCTGCGGAGCGCAACACATCATTCAGCAATTCTCAAGCCATATATTACTGTTTTTCAACTTAAAAATATATTTTTCCCTGAAAATGATTCAAATCTATTAAATATGGTAAAAAATTACCAATGATTTTTATGTCCATCTTGTTTCTCCCGTTTTGCGAGTATTCATATAAAGAATACGTTGTCAATAATTTCTGCGCATGTATCACGAGTCTATCGACTAACAATGTTCTGATTACACGCCTCTATATTCTTCCTTATCGACTCCTGTTAACAAATTAATATTCAAAATACCTAATGCTTTGAAGAGGTTTAAAGTTCGAGTTGTATGGTGGGAAGTATTTACTATATTTTCCAGCAATACTTAGCTTATTGAAAGCAAAGCAAGTCACTTGGTTTAATTTTTATTCTCATTGTATTTTTATATAACCTAAAGTTTAGTTCTTTCCAATTGAAGATAACATAAAAATTTGTGAAAATTATTTTAATGAATAAATAAACCAAATAATACATGAAAATTGTGAGAATATGAGAAGAGAAATTTTACATCAATAAAAGTATATATTAGTGTTTATTTTTTTTTGTTATAAAAAGAATATTATGTCTATTTTGTAAATCATTTCAAATATCTTATTTCTTCTTTCTACATTACATAATAATAGTTGAGTTCTTTTATTTTTGAGAGAATATTATTATTATTTTCTCTTTAGATTTAAAGAGGATATTATAATTTATTCCGGTAGTAAAATTTTATTATTGTCTATTATCGATTTTGTTTCTCTTTTCTCATATTTTATTTTAGTTGTGAGTTTTTATGCAATTACTCCGATTCCTAACAAGTGGTATCGAGTCAATGATTGATTTCTTATTGATGATATTATTATGTTGTTATAGTCATTAGAATAATGTTAGAGGAAATTCTTAGTATGTTACGTGGTTACGATTAATTTGATCTTTCACATCAGAATAATGTCGTAGTGTGACAGTACATGTCTAGGAAAAGTTCTGACAAAGAAAGACTTAATATTTATGTGTGTCTATTAGTGACTTACCTCTTTTATGGGACTTTACCTAGTGTACTAGTTACAATTTACGCTATTGTTCCAGTAGACAATACTATTTATAGTGAAAAGTGCATAAGTCGGTTAAAACCATAAAAAGAAAATATAAGATAGAGAAGTTTAATGAGAATAATTTCTTATTGTGAAAACTGAAGATGAAGACAATTTTTATGGGCATCATATATTAAAGGTGGAAAGAAATTTACAAAAATGTTATAGCAATTTTGTGGAGAAGGGTACAATGAAGGAGATTTGGGAGTCACTCGTCAAATTGTATCAGGAGGAAACACATATTGGACTTGATTTATTATGATGTGTTGGAATCGCCAGTATTGTCCCTAGGAGGGGCCAAATATTTTGTGTCAGTGATGACGATGATTACTTCAGGAGATTATGGGTGTACCACATCATGAGAAAGTCTGTATTCTCAAGGTTCGGGAAAGACAAATTCTTGAACTATGCTAACAATGTGAAGAGGCATTTCTTGTGGATCCCACTATCCACAATGTTATTTTTAGCAGTGGTACAAATATTATTTTTCTTCAAGGTGAACTTAGAAAAATGATTGGTGTGCTCCAACCAAAAAACTTAAAGAAAAAGAAAACTTGATTTGCAGGTTGACCAAATCTCGTACTGTTTAAACCGGGTGTTTAGATGTTAGTATAAGATATTTAACTTTTCATAATTAGCTTTGATTACAACAGACTAAGTTTATACTATTGTACCTATTACAATAGATTTGATGAAAATGATTTTATCATTTTGTCATTGTATGTGGATGACATGTTGGTGGTAGGTTTCAACAAAGTTCAAATCCAACTTTTGAAGGCACAGTTCAAATCAAGTTTTTGAAGGCATAGTTCGAATCCAGTTTCAACAAGATTTTAGGGACACAAATTCACCAAAACATAAAAGACAATAAAATTTGACATTATCAAAAGAATTACTTATTAAAGGTTTTATAGTGCTTCAACATGTAAGAGTGTAGGCTATTTTTTATCGCATTTTCTATCAAGTTATCCTCAAGTATAAATCCTAGTAATAAAACAGGGAAGATGGAAATGTTTTGAGTATTGTATGCATCAAGGGTGGGAAGTCTTATGAATACCATGATCTTGCACAAGCAGTGAGAGTGGTTAGTAAATCAATAACAAATTATGGTGGAGAACATGAGTATTATCAAGAGAATTCTTATCAAAGGAACATTGAATGTTGTATTATGTTTCAGAGGATCAAAATTAGTTGTCAGATGTTATGTTTGTTCAGGTTTTGCAGGTAATCTTGATGAATTTACCTTTGTTAGAGAGACAATAATTGGTTATCCAAGTTATAGGATGTTGAAACTTTTTTTATCATAAAAACTGAGTATATGGCAGTCATCCAGACATATAAGGAAACTTTTTGGATTAAGAGGATAATGGAGGAACTCGGGTATAAGCAGCAACAACAAATTGTTGTGTATTGTGACAATTAGAGTGTCTTGCACATTGTAAGGAATCTTGCCTCGTATTTCAGGATAAAGCAAAAAGAACCTAACAGATGTTATAACAATCAGTTAGCATTGACAAGTTCACATAGAGATGATCATACTAAAGGTCTATTGCAATAATAACATGGAAGACAATAATAATGTATTGTGAATATTTTGATTAATTTATTCAAAACCTTTAAGTGAAAGATTGTGAGAATGTGAGAAGAGAAGTCTCACATCAAAGAAATTATATGTTGGTGCTTACTTTTCCTGTTATAAAAGGAATATCATGTCTATCTTGTAAATCATTACAAATCTCTTTTTTCTCCTTTCTACTAGTGCGTTGCATAGTAGTTGAATTATTTTATTTCTAATAGAGAATATTATTATTATTTTCTACTTAGATTTAAAGAAAGTATTGTAATTTCTTCCGAGTAATAAAATTTTATTTGTCTATAGTCGATTTTGTTTATCTTTTCTTATTTTAGTTGTGAGTTTTTATGTAATTATTCTAATTCCTAATAATAATGACCTTAAATTTTTAGAATCCTAAGAACAAAGTTATATTGGAAAAGATTGTGTAAAATAAAAAAATTATAATAGATAGAAAGTAAACCGAGAGAAATTAGTGTAATCATGTTATAATTACCCATAAATTTTAAAACCCTAAAAGTATGTTATACAAAATTTTTAAAATATCTATTTGATTTCTTTATCATGAAATACCATAACAGAACACATCCCATTCCTGAATCATGATAGAGCATATAAACAAAGTGGATTAGCGAAAATGTAACTATTTTCTATGTATGGCGCAACCCAATCTTTGTTTTTTTTTTTCAAATTGGAATCTCCTATCCTTACAGTGATATATGTTGTATATGTAAATCCTAGATGTAAAAATAGGCAGATTTCTCCCCAGAAAAGAAAAAAGAAGTAAAAAAAAATAGTCTAAAAAATTATCTACTGATGAAATACGAAAGCCAATGAAAAAAAAATGAATTATAAATTAAGGTGCAGGTTCGAATTCCATAGAGAATATAGATGATATTATCTAGAATGATAGAAAAAAAAGAAAAAACTTTCGAAATAACAATAAGTAAATGACACATTAATTTTAAGGAAGATATATATTACACACATCTTACTTAAAATTTGATCTGTTTTCTCTCATCTTTATTTTTAAATCGATTAGGATTGTATTTTCGCTAATTTATTTTGTTTATATGATCTATCATTATTAGGGAATGAGATATGTTTTGTTGTGCTTATTTTATTTTATTTTTTTATAAAAAATCATAGTGATATTTTTAAAATTTTGTTTTACATAATTTATTCGGGTTTATCTTCGATTTATTATACTTTTTTCGACTTTATTCAATCTTTTCCAATATAATTTTATTCTACTATTTATTCGTTTAAGATATTGAAAAATTGGGACCATTTTAGCTTCTATCTGCTGCAATTTCAATACTTTTAACAATATTTACCAAATACAACCTTGTTCTGTTACCCATATTTCAATCCTATGAAAGATTGTCGAATATCACTCAAATAATCCACTTTTGCATGCATTTACAGATGTTATAGTCCACTTTTTTAGATATTTATTTTTTTAGGATTTTTGTACTATTAACCCTTTTCAGAGATTATTCAATAACGAGATCTGATCTATCACGATTCTTACGTGCAATAAAATAAAAAGGTACATAAAAAATGAATATTTCAATTTTTTTTAAATTGGTGTCATTTATAGTCATTATTCGTACGTAAGAAAAGAAGTTAACTTACAAAACTGTGACTTTCCCAACAATATTTATAAGATAATTTGAAATTTGAATATATCAATATATTTTGTCCAAATTTTTCACTAATATATATATATATATATATATATATATAAATTATTAATATGTGTTGAATTATGACTACTTTTATTTATTACAGAAAAATTATTAAAAATCAATTTTATGATTATTATAATATTTTATTGTCTGTTTTTCTCTTTTCTTGTTTTGTTATTGTATTATTAATATTTAATCTATTATTAATAT